ATAATTTTTCAGATTTTTTATTTTTATTCTTAATTTTTTTTTATTATATGAATGATCTTTACGATTTCAAAAATCTTACATGATCTTTAAACCATATAAAGAGACTTTTATATATTTTTTTATTATATTATATATTTTTTTTCTTATTTTTGGTTAATTAGAATCAATATTAATCTTTATAAAATTATAAACCATAGAAGACTTACCACTGTAACACCACAGTCTATGAGTTTAATGATCAAAAACTCAGCATTTATAATACATAAAGAGCGTTTGAGTAAACATTGATGACCTTCTTAGACATTTCATCAAATACTTGTAAGGAAATAAAATCAACCCTTATTTTCAAGATTGGTTCTCTTTCTTTCTTGGTAAGAAAAAACCAGAAAAAAATCTGAATTTTCTTTTATTCTATAGTCTCATTAATCTGATTTCAAAACGGGATGGGTATCGGATCAAATCAAGCTTTGCATTTTGTTAGTTTGTAAATCCAAACAGATCGATCTTTATATAGGGAAAAGAGATGGAAATGGTGATCGATGGCATAATTCAAGAGATGGTGGCTAGCGATGGCGGTAAAAGAGGATGAGATGGTGGCCAACAGGATTCAAGATGTGGTGGTCAACGTTGTTCAAGAGATGGTGGCCGACAACGATAAGAGATAAGGAGATATGGTGACGGCGACAATGCTCAAAAGATGGTGGTCGGTGATAGGTTAGGGCCAGAAGAAAACAGAGAATCGAGATTAAGAATGTGGTGGGTAAATAGAAGTGGGGTGGGGTGTTATTTATTTCCGCTACAAAATATATGTTGGATATCTCAGTTTTGTTAATTAACTTTGATTGAAAAAATTACGTTTTAAGATTTGTAACACCAGTTTTTCACTTGTAAAAGATATAAAAAAATATAAACATTTGTAACTTTGTTTATAAAAATGAAAGTGACTATAAATTGCTTTTTAGCCAAAGTGATAAACATGATGTTTGTAGTACACATCAAGACGAACGTGTGGATATAAAAAGCGTCGAAATTGGAATTTGTATGAGAAAATTACAATTATTTGAAGATAACAAGAAAATAGTATATTCCAAACCAGCACCCTGCTCACCCGCCTACTGATATCTACGGATGTCGACGTGAATAGTGTCATGAATAGTGCTACAAGTAGTGTCATGAATAGTTCCATAAAAATCACTATAAATAGAGGGTCATCCCTCACTCCTTCTTTACAGCATTCTCTATCAAGAAACTCTCTCTCTCTCTCTCTCTATCTCTCTCTCTCTCCCCCCTCCCCTCTCGAGATCTCGGTCCCTCATGATTTGTTTTCTCGTTATGTAATCTAGTTAGCAAGACTCTACAAGTTTTGGAAGGATACTAATAAGAAAACGAATTGTCGAAGTTACGCTCACAATCGTCCGGATAACGCCAATTGAGTAAGTTATACTTACTTTTACATATAACTGATTATATTCATAGTCGTTATTATGAATATAATTGATTAGAGGTAAGAGTAAGTATAACTTACTCAATTGACGTAATCCGAACGACTACGAGCATAACTCTGATGCTTCCCTTTCTTATTAATATCCTTCCAAAACATCTAGAGTTTTGCTAACGAGATTATAGAACGAGAAAATAAATCACGAAGGACCGAGGTCTCGAGAGGGAGAAAATGATTATTGATAGAGAATGGTGCAAGGAAGGAGTGAGGGCGACCCTTTGTTTATAGTGGATTTCACAACACTATTCACGACACTATTTATGACACTATTCATGTCGACATCCGTAGACATCGGTAGGCAGGTGAGCAGGGTGTTGGTTTGGAATTTACTATTTTCTTGTTTTCTTTGGATAATTGTAACTTTCCCATACGAACTTCGAAGGTAACAAGAAAATAGCATATTCTAAACTAGCAACTTGCTCACCCGTCTACTAATGTCACACAAACAACTAGCATCCTACAAACATAATTTAGTGGGCCGATATTGGTGCCTTCGACCCAAGAGTACAGTGAAGAGACTCACCTCGATCTGTTGATAAACAAACAACACTCGAGCTGCTGAACCGAAAAATCTCTGCAATATTCACAAGTAATAAAACTGTAATTAGCAATTAGGACATAAAGCATGACCATGAGTTTAAATCCTTAATCCTGAATCCTAGGGTAAAAGACCATTTTAACCTCTTAAGGTTAACCCGAACCAAAAGCACCCCGGACCCTAAAATAGACCAAAAAGACCCTAAGCCCATTTCTGGGAGTACGTCGTACGTACCCCAGCCTTACGCCCCGTGTACTCACCAGCCAGCCATCGAGACTAAAACCCAGTACGCGCAGCATACTTAGGAGTACGCCCGATGTACTGGTCAGACACCTTTTCCTCATCAAAAAGGGCTTAATTCATTAAGACCTTACATCCACAACTCATATCTGCTTCTAATATAGGTCTTAATCCATAAAGTCGATAGCGTTAATCCTTTGCATGGCTCCAAGTGTCCAAACCCTAGATCTACCATTCTACTTCCATAAAATGACCATTAAGCCAAGCATGGTTGGTACACAACCATTAAGATGCAAACTTTATGACTAAGGGACCTCATAAAATATCAAAAGAACCACTCAAAACTTTTGTAGTAGCATGTACTTACAAGAACTCATCCATGGGACCTAAACATGCTTAAATCTCAACTAGTCTTAGATTAAAGCATAGAGTAACCAAGGTCAAGACTTTATACCTCATGGAAGTTGAGAAAGATGAATAGACCCCGGATCTAGAAAGCTCCAACTTGATCAATGCTCCTTAACCAAAGCTTATTCTTCTTCAAGATACACCAAAGTACACTAAAATCACTCAAAAACTCAAGATTCACACAAATGGGAGCTAGGGTTTTGTGGGATGTCTTCAAGGGAATGGGGGCTGATGAGGGAGCAACCTCATGGTCTATAATGATGTTTAAATAGGGTCCAAACCCTAAAAATTAGGGTTTCCCCATGTACCTTGATTATGCTCGGCATACAGATCTAATATAATATCCATAAAATTTCATAAAAAATTAAACTTTTTCAAACCAACCAAAATCATAATTGTGTACATTGTAGTTTCAAAACATGTTTAACATCAAAGTTTTTCCCAAAATCACAAACATAACATGAGGAGGTGAACGATCAAGCCTTTGACTTCCCACGATCATCTGAGGTACCTGAAACATAACCCAAAACTGTAAGCCCAATGCTTAGTGAGTTTCCCCAAAATACCACCAGGACACATAATTATAGATATTACAACAACAACATGCATACAGAACCTTCAGCATGTCTGGACCACCGCACCGGGCCTTCAACATGTCTGGACCGTTCTCTGGGCTTTCAGCCTGACTGGTCCGCCTCACAGGCCTTCAGTCTATTTGTGCCGCCTTGGGCCTGTTGGTCTTCTGCACACAGCAGGACCGCCTCAACCCAACCAACCATCACATATCCACATATAACATAATCAAACATAACTAGCATATACAGACAGTTATACAGGTCTAGCGGATCACTATAGCATAACAAGCATACAATAAACCAGGATAACAATCCAAATGGGCGACATTGGTGCCTTTGACCCGAGAGTATAGTGAGGACAACTCACCTTACAAGCAACACAAAATTGATAAGGTCCGACTCCGAATCTCAGCTCTCAACTCAAATGCCTACAACTATCAAATGACCAATTCCATCAAAATTCCAACAATACCCAAAATACCCTCAAGGTCAAACTTGTTCAAAGTCAACGGTCAAGGTCAACAGTCCATGCTGACCCAAAACGTCGTGTTTACTAGCAAACACGCCGTGTTTCGATAACATCCAGATGATCGGGAAAACTCCAGCCAACATGCCGTGTTGGCTTGAAAACATGTTGTGTTCTCCCGAGTTCCAGCAGCTTAATACATTCAGTTGTTTTCTTCGATTCCAGGGACTCCAAGGCTCAGATCTAGACCCAAATGCTATCAAGAAGGATAAAGTTTCCAACTTTATCCTTTGGAACTACTCTAAGGGTCCCAAAACCCAACCACAAGGCTTGAAGGTTCAAAGGCTTAACCAAGAAGCACTAAATCCTTGAAGTCTGAAACCCATACTTTCCAGAAGAGATTCTAGCACCAAAACTCTCTCAAAGGTCGGTGCTTTATAGACATGCATGTCCAATGCATGTCTTGAACCCAAAATAGGTCAAAAATGGGTATTTATGACCTACTCTCCATGCATGGCATCAAAACT